TCTGTACGTACATGACAAGGATAGTGGTCTTGGACGTTTGTGAAGCAGAAGAAAACGGAAAAAGGAAAATACATTGGGTTATAGGACTTTTGTGGTGTTAATTTTCGCAAATATGAAATAATTGCAAAGATTTAACCTCTTATACTTGTTTCGTATATTCTTGACGCCACAGTGGACCTCCTTGTGCGCCACTTCCGCGGATTCACGAGACGCCACCGCCGACAAAATTCCAGAAAATAACGCGCGACCTCTCGGGAAAACGTGCGACCCGTTTTATGGCTCGTCATCTACTTAGCATCTTACGTAATTGACATAAATTATCCTACAGACAATTTCGTTGCACAGCTATATAAATTGGGCCTAAAGCAGAACCTGATTATATTTTATAGGGTTGGCACAGTATCCTACATGAGGCTATATAAGATCCCTTAAAAGTACATAACATCCAATCATCAATCGGGAAAATGGTCATCTCAATAACCTGTAAATACTGAATTTTGTTTTTGCCACAATTATACAACATGCAAACACAATCAACACCCTATATTATTAAAATGGTTCACTTTGTTTACGTATATACATATTTTTCTAGGTATATGAATATGTCATTCACAAATGCTGTTTTCTGTAATCCTCGAGGTGATGAATACCACTTTCAACAACTATTTGTACAAGCTCGTAATATCAGATATGTGCACATACCTGAAACTGTAAGTATATTTAGAAGTTGCATCACTGGATAAAATAAAAGAATCTATTTGTTTGTTTACAAATGTTTTCCAGATGTCCATCTTAAATACAATAAGAAATGAACTAACTCATGGCAAGAAAAAAGAGCAGAAAAAACCCTCAGAGAAATCAAGAAAAGCAAAGAAAGCCCTTAAACAGCACATGGAAACTGTAGCATCTCTCAATAATTAGCTTAAAATAATTATAGGTATTTTCAGGATCAAAATATAATAGAATTTTATTTTACTTAGAATAAAGGGAAAAATATTGAAAACAATCTTATGTCCACAAACATTTACTAACAACAATAATCTTACAACAATAACTTAACTAACCCCAATTATCATCTTTACTCTCATATCAACACTAAGTTTATGGTTCCTTGTTATCAGTATCATTTGTAAATGGCCTATCTGGCAAGGTCATGGTGAGGTGTTTAGTGTCTACCTTCTCCTCTCCACATTCCAGATCACCCTTCCTACTGTAATCTTGGCACAACTGATCATTTACAAATACATGTGATAAGTTTGAAATCCGCATAATATTCTCAGGTGTGGCGGGCATAAAAAAATTCACCTTGTTTTCTTGGAAATTGTCATCTTTTCCAAGTTGACTAGAAAGTATTTCAGTTTTAGTCAACTGCTGATGTATTTGTATATTTGAATATTTAGGGACATTACTATTTATAGCTAAATTCTTTAAGTCGTAATTTTCCTGCTTATCATTTGGTTGATTTTCGATATTTTGTCGCGTTTTGTACGAAACATCTGATAGTCCGTTCATAATAGTGTAACTTGGTTGTGATGGCTGATTTTCAGTAATGTTTTCTGTAACTGTGTTCAAGTCTTTTGTTTTCTGTATGATGTAAACTTGTTTGAATGGTATTTGTTTGTCCAAGCCAGCTGTATTAGTTTTTCCAGGATGTTGGAACACGTCGTCTTTATTTGGAATGATTTGCGAGTTGGAGGTTGACTGTGAGTCGGAAGCCTGACTGCATAAGTAATTGGACTGATTAATACTGGCGATAATTGATGTAGGACTCGGAGACGACTGTACAACATTTGGTCGCAGAATGGGTTGTGGATTCAATGAACCTGGAAATTTAATTAGAACTATTCAAATAAACTTCAGAATATTTAATGACACAATAGGACAATATAACATCAAGCTATCGTTATATTAGATTTGTGATTTCAATCGAACCAAACGTTTCAAGTTATTAATTGCAACTGTAGTGAAAAATAGGGTGGCTTGCATTAATAGTACACATAAATGACTGGTGACTTTTCTTTCTCAGTAAGCCTAGACTTTAAAGGGCCCCAAACGTTGGTGGTTGAAAAAAAAAACACTAAGTAGTAAACGCGGAAACATATATACTGGACACCGTTACATTAGTTGTATTAAAGTAAGACATTTTTATTTAATTGCAAAAGGATCATATCAGCAAAAACCAAGATACCAGGATTTCTATAGTATAATGACATAATATAATAAGACAAGTACGGTAACTCCATACAAACGTAGCAAGTGTGGCTTGTATGTGTGCACGTTTGCCACCGTGTCCACAGACGCACACATCTGCATAATCTCGCGTTGCATAGCTCGAGTCGTCATACGTGCGGTTAATTTACAGAATTGAAGCGGTCGCTCGGTGTGTAAAAAAATTACATTCCAAGCGAAGCGTATACTCGCCGAACAGGTGGGAGTTGCCTTACTTGCTCTCATTATACTATGATAATGATGTATTATTGGCAATGGTCGGAGAAAGGTGTTCCAAATCTATTGATACATGTATAGATAAAGCTACAAGGAGTGACATAGGTTGTTAAATCCACCAAATATTCATTAATTACTTTTTTCGAATTCGGGATTTCCGGAAATGGTTTTATCATTTTGAATAACCACGAAACACTTAAAATCTATTATGGTTTTACTGCATCGTAGGACAAAACTACTCACCTAGGAAATCGAAGTTGGATTTTAAAATATTTCTATTGGTGCCATGTAAAAATGCAGTATGTTATAGAATTGGAACACCTTTCTTCGACCATTGATTATTAGAAATGCTATCTATAGCCCTCCGGTATAATCGGTCTACTTTCCCGATCGGGTCACTTTCACTATTCGTCTACTTTCCCGATCGGTCCACTTGTCCAAATGGTCCACTTTCCCGATTCGTCTACTTGCCCGATCGGTCCACTTTCACGATTTGTCTACTTTCCCAATTTGTCCATTTACCATATCGTCTACTTTCCAAATCGGTCTACTTTTTCGATCGGTCCACTTGTCCAAAAAAAATCCGTTTTATAAATTTTCAAAGGTATTTGTAAATGCGCAATTACAGATTGTCATGGAGTACATACATTGTTCATATTTTTGATAATGATGGCCGCTTTACGTTAAACACGATTTGAAAAAACAAAATCAAGTAAACAGTTAGTTTTTAACCGACTTCAAAAAAAGGAGGAAGTTCTCAATTCGACTGTATTTTTTTATATATGTTACGCTATAACTCCGGTTATTTGTGAACAGATTTTAATGATTCTTTTTTGTTGGAAAGACGGTACCTCAGTAATGATCCCATTTAAATTTAAAGAAAATATTCAACCTCTAAGGGTGACAAACTAGGGAGTGAATCCGGTTTCACGCACTTTCCGGTAACCGATTTTAAACTTTTGAGGGCGGTTTTTTAGTACTCTGTACTGAGATTATCTGAGTAGGCGCATTATTAAAATAGACCTATCGGGAAAGTAGACCAAACGGGAAAATAGACCAAACAGGAAAGTAGACGAAATGGGAAAGCACCGATCGGGAAAGTAGACCAATTGTACCGAATCGGGAAAAACAAGTGCACTGATCGGGAAAGTAGACGAATAGTGAAAGGACCGATCGGGAAAGTAAACCAATTGTACCGAAGCCATCTATAGTATCTTTTTTGAAAACGGAGTAAAATTACAGTTGTAGAGTTGCCAGTTTTCATAAAATTTTAAATTGTTATGTAGTTGTTGTCGATAGTTTTATAGATATATTATGAAAGAAGATAAAAGTTTGCCAAAAATGACTGAATTGTGAATGTTACGACATTCTAATGATTACTAAATGCGTTATTGCCTTCTTTATTCTTATATTATGGCCTACTATATCGAGATCAATTTTTGTTCATATACATTTTAACAAGAATAGCAAGAATATATTGAATTAAAATGAAAAACTATAAAATATGTCTCCCCTTTGTATTTTTTATAAAATAGTTCTGAATACAGTGTATGTATGTATGAACTTACAAAAATTGGACAATTCAATGAACTTTAAGTTTGGATATTTATTCCATAAGCGTGATAAAATATTTCAAAACCTCCAAGGAACACTACACCAACTTTATTTTTTGGTCAATTTCGGTTATGTTTGTAAACAGCCATATTTATTTACTGATATTATGCTCCCCGAATTTTGTGACAAAAATAAATAAACAAAAATCGAAAAAAAACAAAAAAACGACTTTTGTGTCAAACAAAATAAAGAAACAAAACAAAATAAAAACAGAACAGTTCAAACAATAAAGTTGGCGTAGTGTTCCTTGGAGGTGTCGATTTATGAACATAACACGTGACTTTATTTCTCAATTTTATTTTTGTGCAGTATTATAAAATCCTAAATATTGGTTAGATGAACAACAACAATAATTTATTTTATCATTTTACAATTTAATGTAGCATTTCTATGCTAAAGTCACGTGTTATACTCATTTCAGTAAATTCAAATCTTAACGCTCCCCTGTAAACTTGGCAATTTCGACATACGATACTTTACGTAGAAGGAGTCGATTTATCGATTGCAATCACCAACTGCTCGCAAGCGGCCAACACTTTTGCGCAATGAATTGTCATTTTACTCCGTCTTCAAAAAAGATAGACTATACAGTTAAGCGTTGAGTATATAACCAGAAATAGAGACAAATGTCATTTAATTTCTTTGAAAACTATTCTGTCATGTCATTACGATCGTCGTCATCGTCGATTGTTTCACTTCAATCGAAAGTTTAACTTGAGCTTTGCTATAACGGACGAAAATTGAAAAATTACATAATTTAATATTTAATTACCGATGAAATGTGATGGTCTGTTTGTTTTATAATTAGACGTTTTGCTGTTTTTCCCACACTACCGAATGGAACAGCCCACCTTTGTTAAAGATGTTTATTATGTTTATTACAATAAATACATATATTTTTGGAATATACGGAGACGCACACACAGGTCAGTTGTTGGCGTTGTACTATTTCAGCTTTGTAATTTGTGATTTCAGCACAAACGAGAGTTGATATTTAAAAGTGATATAAGGCCTATTTGCCTGATGAGTTGCCAGGGATGGATGGCCCTTAATTCGTCTCTATTTCTGGTTATATACTCAATGTTGTTAAATAATCTTAAAGCCGTATAATTAGTATCAAGAGTCACCTTGCGGTTTATATTTGGCGAGTTGCGCATAGACCTGCTTGATGCGCTCGATGTTAACCTGTGAGGCCTTCGCGTGGTCCACCATTGGTACAGGATAGTCGCTACCGATGAGACAGCGTGCTGACTGCTGCACGGATTCTGGTGCTACCCACGGCTCATGGATGTACCGCGTTGGCATGTTTCTTAGTGCTGGTATGTATTTCCTAAAAAACGATTATCTATGTACTCTCATTTTAGATAACTTGTGGATCATACTATTTAAGTTGGTACAGTTGACACAACACCTATAACTATAGATTAAACACAAACGCTGACTCAGCATATGCCTATGTTCCCTACGACTATACTTATATTGCGGCGGAACGGAATGGAAGCGAATTTTTGTAATGATATTGTACATACATAACGTAATGAACTTTATGGTCAATTTTGTAACGTACAAATTAGATACAAGCCAAAAATCTCGTCGCGCATCTCGCGCTCACGCATTCTCAAGAATTCCGCAACTGCCGTCGTGGCGAAAACGCGGGAAGTGGCGCGAAGGCAGCCGCAGTGTCACGTCAAACATCGACGAAATACTCCAGCCTTAAGGCGCAGTCGCGAGCAAGCTCACAAGTGCTTGAACATTCTAGCAACCGCGCGCGCCTTCTCGGGCAACGAGGCGAAATTGACGCTTCCGTTCCATTCCGTTACACCGTAATGTAAATTGGACCTAAGGTACTGGTTTTTGGTTGCAACTGACGAGAGGGACTAAATGCAGAAGTTATTTGTAAGCAATAATATAACAAACGACTAGGAGTGAAATTGTTCATTAAAATATTAAATGCAATAACGTATTAATAGTGCATCAAAATAACCTATTGGATACGAAAGTGCATGTGCAGATGTGAATATAAGTGTTGCTGTAAGTGTAATATATTATGATTGTGAATACGTGTAATAAATCAAAAGTAATTTTTTCGGGTTTTAATTAGGTGCCATAACGACAACAACACCCAATTATTTTTGGGTCATCCCCGCTAAGAACATTAACTTATAATAAGCATTCGACCCAAATATTCAAGTGATAGATACACTGAAACAAGCATTACAAAGCTTACGAGTATTCGACATTGTGGACGGTGTAACAAACGACGCCCTCGTATGTCAAAAATATTTTAATATTTTTTTAGCATTAAAAATTAGATCTTTTGATGGTCAAATGTGAAAACAGAGAAGGTTTGAAGTTGATTGAAGCAATATCATTTGATTCAAAAGCTCTGTTGTTAGTTGTAATGCTAAAATTATAGAAATGCTCATTGTTGTCACTGTAAATTTGTCATTTGTTGCGTAATCGCTTCGAATGTTCAATATGATTTCTCACATTATATTATTTAAGTTAACAATAGGAATGCTTATGGATTATATAATGCTAACACTACAAATTCTGTATTTTGTATTATCTTGTAGTTTTCCTCAATTATATTTGAGTTATATTCAATGTTAACTTGCAAGCCAATTTTACAATGTACCTTATGAAATCGCCATTCGGGTCAGTCTTCCTTCCGAAGCGAACAGGACAGTAGCAGTGGAAGAACTGTTGGAAGAAGGAAGAGCACGAGAGCCACATCCACATGCCTGCATTTACTGACCAATCAGCATCGAGCAGTAGCTCATCGAACACCTATAAGCCAATCAAAAACTAATAATACCAAGTCAGGAAGTACCAATCAGGATACTGTTTTCCGTTAACTTAAATGATCTTGCTGTGAAACAAAAACAAAAATATTGTAGGTTCCGTCAACTTGGGTAACTAAGAATTTCCTTGTAACTTATAAAACTGGTTTGAAAATTCCTTTTTTTTTTCTCTAAAAGCTTGTATTCAAATCATTGACCTACCAATAAATCGGTCGTCGGGGTCCCGCTAAAAAGAGTCCGCACCTATAGGGCGTTAAAATCGCATACAGAGCGTCAATCGCGCAACAGTCTTCGTTTGTTCGACTGTCAGCGCGGTTGTCAATCATGCAGTACCAATAATAACTTCTAAAAATTACTGCAATAAAGTGTAAATACAGAATTTTGTATCATATTTCATTAAACAAATATATTGTGTTATCATAGTTCTCATTTAAAAGTGTTATTTTGTACTGTTTTATAGCATTTAATTTATATATAAATGAATCGTAAATATAAATTACAAAAGCACACAAAATAATCAAATAGCTAACTGTCCTTTTTCGACACATTGCATACGCAAAAGTTAGAAAGAGACCCATTACGTCAATTTCTAGAAGCTTAAAACTTCTTGGTCATTTTCAATAATAAAGAACCACAAGCGATTGAATTTAGAACAAAGAAACTATAGAGTCACTGATTTTAATTTTATTTTTAAAATGATTTTTTATTAACGTTAGCAATAACTAACAAAATATTGTTGTACTCGCTTTACGGCTTGGGATTACCTATCAGAAGTCAGAAAATACATTTGCCCGAAATAGCGTTAGCTCGAATTTTCACATGCTCAAACGTATTTTTTTAGATACAAAAGACGAAAATAGAGACAAAAGCTAATTTTTTCTTTAAGAAAAGTATCAAAATTACTCGAAAGCGTAACTGTTTTATTATAAATCGATTTTCGGAATTACGGATATTTAAGTTTACGTTTAGCTGGAATATCGGTACATTTCTTATAGTACACGCTTATTTCCACATTTACAGTAATATGTGTATGTATCTGCCCAACTCTTCATTATTTCTCTAAGTGAGTTTGTACAAAATTTGACATAATAATATATATAAAAATTAATTAATATTTACGACAAAGGCTACTTACTCCATTACTCTTGTATTCAAGTAATTTTCAGTCGAAGCTAAATATGGTGCATTTGTTAAATTTCCAGTACAAGCTGAATATTGTGCTTTTGGGTCCTTAAATTGTTGCAAGCAAAATTAGGCACTACTGCAATGACGTTACAATTTTAATTAAATGTTTTAATTTTTTATATTTCGTTACATGTCACTACGTTTGTTTTGTATAGGTTAACTTCGGACATTTTTTCGTGGTTTTTGTATTAGACCCGACGTCCGTTTGTTGGTAGGTCAATGATTCAAATACATTGATTGATAACACATCAATGAAACCTTATAATTGGCTGAAACGTTAACCGCGAAAAGCCAGGACAGAAAACAATGATCTTATAAGATCAATGTAATAAATACATGAAAGGGAAAAACCAAATATTCTAGATCTCAAATGTGACATAACATTGACAGTTGTTAAAGAAGTTTTGAAAGTTACGCGCCATTTTCCGTTGGCGGTGTTGCTACAAGAGAAAAGTGTTTGTGCTTCAGATTATTTTTGTGCAAGTTGTTGATAGCGGCTGATTGGTTATTGGTATGTTCAAGTGAATTGAAAATTGATCGCTAAAACAAGTTAATTTAGTTTGACTTCAAAAAAGTGTGTATGTTACGCGATTACTCCGACATTCGTGAACCGATTTCAATGACTTTTTTGTTGGAAGTACCCCCTTTTCTGTAGTGGTCCCATTCAAATTTGAAGAAAATGTTCCACCTCTAAGGATGGCAAATTAGGGAATTTGGATCTTAGCCAAGACAGTTAAATTGTTGGTACTCGGTATAAAGATACCCAAAAGTCCGGGTAACTTTTAACGGGCCCTTAAGCTGCAATTTTCTCAGTTTTTTCTTAACTCGTCATTTTTATTAAGCGTAAAAAAACTACCTCGGCTCGTATTCAAACTTTTCACGTACTGAATCGGTTCCATTGCGAGGGTCTAACGGCAGGGACACTGGCTTTATTTCAGAAGTAATTTTTTTACAAACGAAATTAAGGCTATTTTAAAAATGTATATCGTATACTATTCATGTACTCTTTAGTTCAGTTGATATTAAAAAAAAACATTGCTATGTAAAGTTATAATACCTAAAGAACAGCGGATTTCTTGTAAAATTTAGAGTTAAGTTTGTGTTTTTTCTATCGTGAAAATTTGTAGGAATCGTGTTTTCACACCGTATACACTAATACTCATTAGTAAAATTGAAGATATACACTGGTACACACTCAACTTTACTATATACTTTTTCCAAAGTAATTGAATCAACACTTTCACTGTTATGTGGAATCAACCAAAGCCATTTCAGGTTGTATCGACTCCTAAGTAAATTATGCTGCCTCCGTGGCCGAATGATTACCATGCCGGCCTGCCACGTATGGGTCCAGGTTCGATTCCCAGGTCGGGAGAAATATTTGTATGGCCTACATTTATTAATCTCGTGAGTTCGGGTGTAATTTGTGGTGTCCATGGCACCCGCGACATAGTGTTTCCCTAGTGCGAGTCTATGTTGAGTGTGTGCGTTATTATTTGTTCTTATTATTATTATAAATTTGGATATGGAAGAACACTTATTAATCTATAAAACCTATTTCAACCAATACATTATCTGTAAAAATCTGACGAAAATGTTCAAAGTTACCCAATTTGACTGTTATTGATACTGAGAATTACAACTCTATAGACAATCCCAATATTCCTTTAAACTACGTAAAATAAATATAGCCTGTTTCAATCCATTTTACAGTAAAGTAAACCGATTTGGTAAAAATTCTAAAACAATCATTCAATAAATGGAATAAGTACCACTTTCGCGTATATTTTGAAGAGTCCGACTTGATATCTCATCACTTTTTCCAACAATTTTCATTTGCACAACAACTTAAAATCGTATTTGGAAAATGTTAGTCCAAAAGTGAAATTATTTTTGAAATGTAGAAGTATGGATTGTATATTGTTGCATAGTGCTGTACGAAAAAAATCTTCGTTTCATTCAATTAAAGTTCTTGTAATCGATTAGTAAATCGAATATTTCAATCACAATCGATTGCGTAAGGATTTGAAGGCTGTATTTAAAATTAAGATTTGTAAATTCTAAATTTACTTTTATAGGTCATGTAAGACAAACTACTGTTAGTAGTATAAAATACAACATGGACTAATACTATGTTTGAAAATATCATCACTCAGTATCGAATCACATATTTTTTGGTAGTAATCAACAGCGAAATCGCAAAAAGTCTGTTATTCCAGCTGATTCAATTAAACAAATCGATTCATTAAATTTTATAGTTCAGCAGGCAATACATCTGGCTATCACTATGGTCGGGTGAGAGGGAGAGACTTATTTGTTTATTTTTTCTGTAAAATAGATTAAAAACGAACTAGAGAATTAATTGCAAATAACACAGCATACCTAAGAACGTGCGTGAACACGAACACTCGACAAATTAGAAATAAGCTTGCCTTCATTCCTTCTTCCCATGAGATCCAGAGGTCACCTCTTGTGAGAAAACAGGCTACGGCATGCCGCGCAAGGTGGTGGATCCAACCTTCATCTCTCAGTTGGATCATTATCGCATCTATCCAGGGGAAACCAGTTTGACCCTGCAAGACACTAGTATTAACTCTGACAACGATGTGGTAAACAAGTTTTGTGAACACGGACATTCACAAGCCAATATCAGGGGGTCTACTCTCGATCTCCGTCCGACTCCAAATAAGTAATATTCGACAAAATTAAAAGACATGTATCATGTATGAAGCTTCATTCGCATCACGCGTCTTTTCTTTTGGTCAAGTATTGCTTATTTGGCAGTAATAGTTTCGGACGGATGTCGCACGGAGATCGAAAGTAGATCCCCAGAGTCGATCAGCTTGTGCAAAATGCTTCCCACTGTCGATGCTATTTTCTACTGTCAATATGTCACATTCATTTCAAATACAGTTATTTTGTCATCTCCAGATATGTCTGTACAGACCCTTGTACACAGTTCAAACCTAAATTGGACGTAGTTAAGCAAAAAGGGTCCAATCCATAAAATCTATCAAAACGGTGTCTAAAGTAAGCCTTTTTATCTTAGATCAGCAAAAGAATCCAACACATAAACATAAATAAATATCTCTGGAGTTACATGACATTATAAGTTTTGAAAATAAAACAAGAGTGAAAAACACTTTTAAACTTCAAACTGCCATAATTCGAAAGTGACTGGATGTGCATTGGGTCCTTTTTGTTTAACTACGTCCAATTGTAACAAAGGAAATAATAAGATAATAGTTAGCCTTTATAGTCCCACTGCCACAGGCCTCCTGTCACAATGAGAGGGTTTGGGATTCAGTTACCACGCGATATAAATGCGAAAAATCATTAAATTGCTTTGTCGATGTGTGCAGGTTTCCTAACGAAGTTTTCTTTCACTAGAAAAAGCTCATGATAAATTTCACATTGAATTTCGCACGCAAATTCCGAAAATCTCAGTGCAATACACGATCCTCTGCTTGAGAGGCAGTAAATCGAACCGTCAGGCTACCACAAATCTTATTGAAATAGAGAGAGATTTAAAAGATGAGTGATTCACAGTCACATACAGAAATCAAAATAGTGCAGCGAAAGCTAAAATGAGAATACCATAATGTAATTTTACATAAGCACCATATTACGTGGTTAGAGTAAGCAAACAAGTAAGTTTATAATAATAAACATTAATCACTTACATTAGCCCACTTGGCTAAAGCTTCAGAGTTCTTCTCCCAGGGAATTTGGACACAAATGGGATTACCTTCCATTCGGTCAAAGTTCGGATTCCTCGTGGCTGCGCAATAGAAAAACTCCCTCCAAAGAATTTGTCCGTGTAGCGATAGGGGTGGCCTAACGCGTTTTATCCTCTTGTACAATTCCGTCAATTGGTAATAGAAGAGTCTTGTTGACAAGCACCCGAACCTGAGACAAAGCTACAATCAACAACACTTTCTAAAACGGACATTACCAAATGTTTCGTAGCAACATCAGGCATGGTTATAGTTCTAAGGAGTAAATGGATCAGTGGCGAGGCGTAAAAATTGTAGTTAGTAAAGCCAGAGCAAAACAAAAAGCACGTCACTTAAGAAAAAGTGGTGCCTTGCAGACACTTAAACACAATTTATTAGCACACAAGGTACTAGTATACTTCATTTCACCGATTAACTTACTTCTACACATAAAATTTAGCACAAAATGTAGTATTTGAAATACGTGGAAAATTTTAGGCAAGCCGGTGAAAATCGAATTATGTGGACGCCTCACCATTAAAATGGATTGACCTAGAAAATTACAAATAGGTACTAACGACGATAGTAACTTCAAAAACAAAACAATTATAAACAAAAGACAAAATATCGAGTTCTTAGGTTTCCGCGATTGTTACACAGGAAATGAAACTATTTTTCCGGATTTGAATCGCGTATATTTGTTTTTTCAAACAAACCAACGTTTCGGGCTCTTAACAGGTCCCATGGTCACGGTGAACCTTTAAAGGACCCGATACGTTGGTTTATTTGGAAAAAACAAATATACGCGATTTAAATTGCAGGCCGTGGCGACCTTTAATTGAGGCAGAATTTAGTATAAGTCTCTGTATCAATATTTCAACTTTGTTATATTTAATTCATGTCTTGTTGGTTGTCCTAAAATAAATATAAATAAATATAAATATAAAAAAATCTGGAAAAATAGTTTCATTTCCTAAAAGACAAAATAGATAAGTATTGAGAAGTTTATCTATGAATTAATTAAGTACCTAGTCTTTTGACCGCCACTGACAAAAACTAGTTTTGTTTCCTAGATGCCAAGGCTAGTGATGTGACATGTTATGGATTTTAAACCTTGTATTAATTCATATCTCCCAAGTTCAAGAAAAAGTAACTGAACATAAAATGCAACTATGAATCCATACTTAACTAGACTATACAAATAACACATGGTTTCATTGACACTCTAAATCATAGTTTCCCAAAGTGGTCCCTACCGTCCCCCAGTGGGCGTTGAAGAGTCCTAGGAAGGCGGTAGGGGCCTCGGAAGCAATTGGGGATATTGATGTTGTCCAGGAGGTTTGAAAATAATCCTGAATTATTTATAAAGTATACAATATATTTTTATTCCTTGTAATTTTTTGTGTTAAGTTAATATAAAAATACGTGTTGTCAATGATTTTTGGTAGTGGGTTTTTATCTTGCCTAAGTGGGCAATTTTTTGGGTGGTGATCCAAAAAGTTTGGGAACCCATGCTCTAAAGCGTCTATGGCGGTCAAAAGGCTAGAGGTTTTTTTTTGTGGTAGCAAGTGACAGAACGAACAAGTCATGTGACACGCCTGTCCATAGCAGTTGCAGTGCTACTCAAAGCTGTAAATCATAAAGCTCTGAGGATATTGCGCCCGTCACCTTAAGACATAAGTTGACAAGTCCCATGTGCCTGTAATTTCACCAGCTACCCTTCAAAAGCGAAACGCAATAATGTTCACATTACTTATTAATAACATATTTATTGATTCGTTGGCTTACAATAACCTTTTTCAATGTAACCCGGTACACAATATTGGAAATAGGATCTAGGACCTTGTGTTGTCTAACGGGCCTAATAGTATTATTGTAAACGAGGCCGATCAGCCCCTTGTGCCTGTTGATCCTTTTCATCCCCCTTTACTTATAGGTTAGCGAATGACATCGCCCACAAAAAATATAAAACCTAAACGATCATTATACTTGAACTTTCTGGCATATGACTACAATACCATACGTAACGTGCTCATTAGTGTAGATTGGTCTGAGTTGCATACCTCTGGATCGGATGTCGATGAAATGGTTGATAAGTTCTACAACGTAATCCTTCAAGTAATCACAAGCACACTCCATCCAGCTATACTCGTGACAGTAGATACCCTGTATGGGACTCTAGACCATTGATTAAAGCATTACAGGAAAAAGCGAAATACCAAAGTGAATTAAAAAAATATAACAACCCTTTGGACTAGGTCACTTTCAGCATGCTGAGAAGGAGGTGTGATAATATGATAAGAGATTGTTACAAAACATTTAAAAATAAGGCGTTAATCATCTGAAGCTAAATCCGAAATTTCTGAAAATTTTTTAAAGGCCGTAAATCTAATGTGTCCACCATACCTCATGAAATGGTTTTGGGTAATTCCTCTGTCACGGGTAGTCAAAGCATATGCAATCTTTTTTTGAAACACTTTCAATCCATTTACAGTACTTGTAATCAGCTAATCATTCTGAGTAAGTTCACGATCAATGCGTATCGGCACAGTTATCCTCTTAGCGACGTTGTCGTTACTGAGGACGAGGTGCTTAGGTGTCGTAAATGTCTTGATTGTAACAAGGGATGTGGACACGATCTGATTCCGCCACACTTCCTTAAAAACTGTGCCGAAGTCTTGTATAAACCACTTAGTATGATTTACAATAAGTCATTGCAGCTTGGTATTTTCCCATCCAAATGGAAAATTGCACATATCACTCCTATTCATAAATCAGGTTGCTCGGAGGACATTGCCAACTACAGACCAATATCTATACTATCAACGGCTGGTAAAATCTTAGAATCGCTGATACAAAATAAAACTTATTCGCATATCAGGCACTTAATCAACACCAACCAGCATGGGTTCTTGCCCCAAAAATCAACTTCCACAAATCTAGTAGAGTATGTATCTGATTTATCAGATGTTTTGGATAGAGATGGTGAGGTACATTCAATATACACAGACTTTAAACAGGCGTTTGAACTCATGCACCATGATATTCTCCTGTACAAGTTGGAACAGATGGGTATTCATGGATCGTTGCTAAGATAGTGTGAGTCTTATCTGCGTAATAGATCACAGTTAGTCGGAATTGGCATTATTGCCATCCGGTGTACCCCAAGGTTCTCACATAGGACTCTTATTTTTTCTTATGTTCGCACATTAATATCGCTTTCTCATCAACTTCCAAATTTAAAATGTACGTTGATGAACTGAAGCTATACAGAGCTGTTAATTCGCTTGTGGATGCGCAATTACTTCAGGATGATCTTAACAGAGTCCATCAGTGGTGTCGCGATAACTATATGGTCCTCAATACTAATAAATGCTACCACATTAAGTTCACCAGGCGCCGGAGGCCTTTAGCTGTGACTTATTTTATAGACAATGCACCCTTAACAGAGGTCAGCAGTACTCGAGACCTGGGTGTCGTCATAGACGCTACACTAAGTTTTAATAAGCTTATTAACTCAATCATTGGCAAAGCTTCTCGGCTAACCGGCGTTGCATCAAGACAAATGAAAATTTTTAACAAGCCAACTGTATCTATTTTAATTTATAACAGTTTAATTCGCATTTTAGAACATTGCTCTACTGTCTGGAACCCAAGTTACCAGGTTCATTCAAATAGAATTGGAAGTATTCAAAAAAGTTTCCTCTTATCATTTAACATACGATAATTTTAAATGTAAACAGCTGTTCTCATACGAGTCACGTCTCTCTCACTTTAACATGTTCTCATTGCAAAAGCGCCGTAAAGCTCATGATGTAATGTTTTTATTCAAAATTATTCATGGTATTATAGCTGCACCTGACAACCTGCACCGTTTACGTTTCTCCGTTCCCCGTCCTGGCAGTCGCCTGCAAAAATGTAAAACATTTTCGCTCCCTTTTTGTAGAACTAACCTCGGTCAACACTGTCCACTGTATCGCATGTGTTCTTCTTACAATGTTATCCGTTTTGATTTCGATATTTTCTCTGGTTCTATTGTCTGAGTCAGGAACTCAATTAGAAAGTGTCTATTATGTTAACTACACGACTGACTTTGTTGGGTTTTCTTAAAATACTTGAAATTTAGAGTTACTGTCACTTATATAATATTTTGATACTTATACAGTTATTTTGGCCTGTTTTGCATGGCGTGTTCACATCAAGTAAGATACGTTAATATTGTGACACTATATAAATGAAATACTTGTAGTTTATATCTGAATTGTATCCAGTTTTGTGAACTAATTAAAAAAATATATTGCTTGGCGGCAGAAATAAGTAAGGTGGCAGTATTTCTCTGGCCGAACTCTTTCAGAAGGAGCTCTACTGCTACTGTATTCGAGTGTTTAGAGAAGTGCTAACCTTAGGTAGGGCGACAAGCCAGTTTGACTTGCTAATAGCGACTGTGGAGTCATCTTTGGTCTGCCGAAAGAGGCCACCCACGCTTTCCTCTCAAGGTGCCTCTCCAACCGCACCAACGCTTCGGTCTCGCCACCTATCCATACTGGTGGCTTGAGCCCCTCTACCTCGAATCCTGAAACATGATTTCAATTCAACATTTTGGGCCGTTGTTATTGAGGAATAAAGTTGAAATTCCATCCGGAGTGTAGAGCGTGTTATTTCTATTTTATTCACACACAAACTCTCCGCTAAATAAATATTGCAATTAATGTAGCGACATCTCACGTCAGCTTCTGGTAGCTGTAAAGGTACTTTTTAGCTAAGTAAAGAAACAAGTTTTCACAGGTATCGCTGACGGCAATAAGCTGTTTAAACCCAATGCAAAAAACTCCAACAAGCACAGAGAAATTCGTAAGATCCGCTGTCATAGTTTGTAGCTCTGTTGGTAAGAGGGGTGGCCTCGGTCTGGTAACAGACGCTGGTTTAAGTTCATTCAGATCGAAGGGGTTTTTCTTGGCGTTGTTCTGTCTTTGTATCAATAATAATAACTATAAATCACTGTACTTATCCCTGCTCAAATTAGTTAGTTTTCAATTCTAGAAAAAAATATTACTGCACAAGGATTTAGAGTCAAGGTATGTAAATGGACTTACTACTATTTTGTAATAATTTATTGAAGGGAGATTGAATCGAATTTGTTTTTTTTATAATAATATCAAGTGACGAACAAGTCGTGCGCCTGGTGGTAAGCTACATGCCTGTCCATAACATATTCAGTGCCACTCAGAGCTAGAAATCGAAAAGATCTGAGGAGAATGCCATTGCGCCCGTCACCGAGACATATAAGTTGACAAGTCCCATGTGCCTGTAATTTCACCAAATTTATTTAGTGGTGTTACATAATTAGTGGTGTTATAGTTTACCAACCTAGTTCTTCAAGAGTAGGGACGCCGAATCGTTCATCGTGGTCATCAGAGATGGGAGTGGAGGCGCCGTTAAGCGACTGTGCGCTGATTGTGTCTTCCGCCGGCGGCGGCGGAGGCATGCTCGCGATAAGCGCTTGGAACTGGTGGTATGTCAGAGGCGCCTTACCACCGTTTAGGTCTATTATTCTGAAAGTGTTTATTGGGGTTAGGGCGCGTTCCCATTATGTCATGACGACAGACAGTCGTGCAGTTTAAAGTGTCGTGACTTGTATATTTAAATGAAATTGTTCACACATACATCAACACGACTAACTGTCGTTCACTACTTTTTTGTCGTTACGACGACAGACTGTCGTGACAATGGGAAGAGCTGGAACGAATGTCGTCTGACGAATAAATAAAACTTCACGATAAAAATATGACGACAGATAATCGCGCTTCAAACGATTATGTTGTGCAAACGCCAAGGCGGCTGCCGTGAACAGATGAATTGTCGTCGCGATCTAGTGGGAACAGCTAGACACGACAGTCGTTCAACGATAAAATACACGTCCACGACACAGTCACGAAGATAGTCGTGTTATTGGAAGAGGCTAGACGCAACAGTCGTCCAACAATAAATAAAACGTTACAACATAATGAGAACGCGCCCAAAGCCCTTAATCAAATAAACGTAAATTATTTACCACTTTATGTAAGTAATTTAATATAAATAAACATATAGTCTGTCTTTTTTTGTTTTGTTTCTGGCAGTTCGCGGGTTGCGTTTGTACCACTGCAAAATGGGGAAACTTATTTATTTATAACTTAAAAATGGAAAGGGAAAATAATTTGGAAGAAAGGATCACGGAAGTGCGATTAAGGTTAAATAGGAATACATAAACATAAGAATTTTATGACAACCGTAATATATAGCTATATATTTATAATTTGATACAATTGAAAGTTATAAACGAAGCGAAACATTTATAGATAATAGGACTATTAGATGACAAAGTAAGCTTTACAGTAGTAGGAAGAGGGAATCCGATGGAGATGAGGACATGGAACAAAAAGGAATGATCGTATAAAGGACAGTTGAGTACAACTGTATAATATTTTCTGACTCTATGAGCGCATTGCAATCATTGTCCAAGTTTCCGTTTATTGCTAAACTGATTTGCCCCATTGTATTACTTCTACAAATTTAGTTTATCAGTGTACAATAAAAGGTTATTCTGTAGTGTTTGCTTGGGTGCCGAGTCATTGCGGCATCCCGGGCAATGAACGCGCAGACCAACTGGCGGGTGATGCGATTCTTTGCGGTGATGTAGCATTTTTTACTAATAACTGTCATGATTTGGGTGCACTGCCTGCGATTTATCTCAGGAATTCCTGGCAGGAATTTTGGAGTGTTAGCAGCCGCACGAAGGGATCGTTTTACGCGAGTCTACAACCCTCTATTCCTACTAAGCATAGGTTTTCCAAAATGAAATTTGGAAAGTTGGCCACAAGGTACTGATGCGCATGAGACTGGGGCATGTGTGTTTTCCGGCCCACTTAGCCAAGTTTAAAATTATAGACAGTGACCTTTGCGAGTGTGGAGAGATAGAGATAGTGTTGCCCGTTTGAAAGCAGCTGGTGATTGCAGTCGATAAATATTGTATCGACTGAAAGTTGGTTATGCTTATGCAATAAATAGTCGAACTTGTTTCAATAGAATCATCATCTTGCCATTATTCGTACAACTGCTGGGCACAGGTTCATTTCTTTTTTGTTCATTCCAAAAAGGTTCATTCATACACTACATTTAGAACTGTCTATTTAAAATATAAAGAGGAGACATATTTTAATGATTTTCATTTTAATTCGTTATAGATAAACAAATCTAACTATTCTAACTATTTTAACTGCCTCTGTAGCCGAACGGATACCATGCCGGACTGCCACGCAGAGGTCCCAGGTTCGATTCCCGGGCCGGGAGAAATAGTTGTATGGCCTACAATTATTTATCTCGTGAGTTTGGATGTAATTTGTGATTGTCTATGTGTGTGTCCATGGCACCCGCGACACAGGGTTTCCCTAGTGCGGGGCTATGTTGAGTGTGTGCGTTATTTATTTATTATTTATTATTTTTATTAAAATGTGTATGAGTAACAAATTTATATCGATGCTAGTAGGCCCGCTGTCAAAATAAGAATAAAGAAGGCAATAACGTAATTAGTAAGCATTAGAACGTCGTAACATTCACTATTTAGGCATTTTGGCAAAATTTTACCTTCTTTCACAATCTATCGCTAAAATTATCGACAACAACTACATGACTATTTAAAACTGTATGATAACTGGTAACCCTGCGAATGTTATTTTACTCAGTCTTCAAAAAAGACAAACTATAGGAAATGAAACTATTTTTTTGGAATCTAAATCGGGTATATTTGTTTTCTGTTTTTTTTTTCAAACAAACAAACGTTTTGGGCCCTTTCAAGTCCCTTGATCACGGCAGACGGAGATGATAAAGTCATCAACTAGACGTCAAATATTGATGCAAATCACTCTATCTAATCTATTTACACATTCTCAAGTTGTAAAAGTATAATGATAAAATATTTAGCACAAAAAGAAAACACGATGTTCTATTTTTTTTAATGCAATGAAAATGGCATCTACAGTCGTCTATTACCAGGGAAGACTGAAATATTTTATAAATAAGTAGCAACATGTTCCTTACGTGTCCAATTTGTAAAGCGTGTGCGAAACTTTCGAGATGACAGTGATGCCAACTTCTCGGCACTTGGTTGTAATATTGTAGTCCCGTACACGTCCATATGGTTCAGGGTCCTCTTCGAAAGTGAGAGCCGTGGTGCCCCATTCGCGAAACAGCTTGGGTAGAGCGTCAGCGGGTTGACCGCGCACCACAAATAATCGCGAATTTAGCTTCCGCAAACTGCGGTCTAGATCTTCAAGACATTGTAATAGAAACCTGGAAGATAGTTGAAACTTAGCATGGTTTGATACGTAATGAAATATTTGCAATTGAATAGAGTCGTAAAGACGAATGATGGAGTAAATACTTCCTGTAGCAGTGTGTAATAAATACTTATTTATACAGTGCAATTAGACATCATCACATACGTTGCTATCATCCCAAAGTAAGTAGCTAAACCTAAACCTGGTGTTATGGAAATCGAAAACAACGACGGCATTTCAAACAATCCGATCAGATCCGAGACAATATGGAAAACTTAAGTGTTTCGGACGGCCGTACGCGTCTGGCCGGTCAGAGCAATATGTGTAGAATTACGTAAATAGTTCAGGGGCTCCGATTGGCTGGTACGATGTGGGAGAGGCCGTATCGGCATATATATATATATTAGGGGTTAAAGTATGAAATTGCCGTTTTATTG